AATGCAATTTCACTCATTTACAATAACGACGACGGTGTGCCTCACCTACTCGAAATGGTCAATCATGTCGTTACCTTCTGTTTATAGCCGTTAGTTAACGACTGCTGCTTCGTCTGCAAGTACTCACTGTAGAAAAGCATCAACCGCCTGGCCAATATATCTTCCTTGGAAAATAGGGGATGATGCATGAACATGAGTTTGTAAATTTCGATAGTTAGCCGATACTTGAAGCGATTCCTCTGGATTTCTGCTGCGCCAAAAACCGGCTACAAAGAAAAAAATCATAAACATAAACCATTTTTTATGAACGTATTTCAATGGGCTATAAAATATAAGTTGATCAGCAAACCAATTATGAGCATCCTGCGTTCCTTTCCAATGATGAATCAAAGGAAATTACCTTTGACATTTTTTAAACGATTCGAGCTCGAGAATTCAATGATGGGAAGTCTCTGGCTAGTTTTTTCATAGCCCTGCTGCTTTCAAACATGTCTTCCTCTCCTTGGACAGTTAGAACAAACGATAGTGCAACAGAAGTGGCATTACACCCTTCCAGATGGACAGTTCTACTGTGAAATGACGATTCGCATGGCTACATCAACGAGAGCTTGCCTTCAACTGTGCAAGACGTTGTGAGGACGAGTGAAGAGTTCTTCATGCCGCCACCTGCTCTGTTCGTTCTATATATAAAACAATTTGGCTCTGGGAGTCGAAAACATAAAAAAAACTAGGATCTTTCGACCACTGGCGTTTGCGAGCCATCTCATGGATACGATTTATAAATCATACATGAAATTCTACAGCCCTTACTCTCTGCACGACCATCTTATCTTCTAGAATCTGACAAGAAGGGCAACTTTGCTGACTGGAATATATGGTGACACGCCCAACGGAAGAAACCCTCACGTTGCGCTGAAATTCCGCCCCTGAATGACGCCGGAAAAGATATGGTCGTTTCAGAAGTGAATAGGGGAACTGTCACAAAACCGGCGTTAGATCCTCTCTAGATTTGTAGTACTCGGCTAATCTGCGAAGAAGCGTAGTTAGACGACGAATATTGCGAGGCTAGTGTCTTTACATCCCCAAATGAAGCCTGAAAACTGAAGTTACGTGTCATAGTCATTGAACTCTTTTTTAATGGATTAATAATTATTCATTTTTATGATTATTGTATAAGTAAATATTACGTTATTAAAATAATTGTTGAGAAATCTTCCAGTTCGTTTATTTGGATGTCATTTGTTTTGTAGACCCCATAATAAGACCTATGACTGAATTCCGTGCAGCAAGCCAAAGCATCAGCAGAAATGGAAAACTTATGATCAGTTGCTGCACGCTATCCAATCACCATACGTGGACGACAAGTGCTGCAACAGAATAAATGGCACTAAGTCGACATGTTTCAATCTTGGGAATGGTCTCCTTCAAGAGTGCCTCCTATCCCTTTTCCTGTTTGTGCTGCGCATAGAACAGTAATCAGGCGCAACCAGGGTGGTGAAAATATTAGCGTAGGAGTCATGGAGAAGACAAGGCAGCTGTTCTCATGCGAACCTGTTTTGTTGGCATCTTCTGAAACTGTTCTCAAATGCACTTTGGAAATGTTCGTAGCCGAGTGCGACGTAGCCGGCATGTTAACGTGTCTGAAACCAAACGCCTAGTGCTTCCTGGTCTTTCTGCTGCCAGCAACGCTCTGAGGATGAGGAGAGAAACGGTGAAAGAGGTGAAGAAGTAATCTACTCATAATCGTGCTTGTTGGTGACGGGAGATGGAAGGATGCGATCAAACGACGAATCCGGATTGGCAGCGGCTGAACACCCCCCCTCCAAACTGTCATGAATAAGCCGAACTAAATTTCAAGACTAAGCTGTCTGTATTCAAGTCGATTTTTGTATCCATGCTTAGCTGCGGTCAGGAGTCGTAGGCAATGACTGAAGGAATGCAGTGCCGAGTACAAATGGCTGAAATCTGCTCTTTCAAATGAATTGCTAATCTGACGGATCTCGATACAAAGTTCTAAGTTCAGATATCCCAGAAAACATTGGTGTACAACCGCTGCTTCTTCAGATTGAATAGTTGCTGCTGTGATGATTTGGACACGTTTTGTGTATGCGTTCTTTCGAAAGGAAAACGAAACAGCGGGGAAGGCCAGGAATAACCTGGGATAGCAAATGTCTGGACAGACTTTGCTCCGGACTAGCGTCATCTTCTGAAGCTCAAACACTGACACGGCCTCGAAAATGCTGCACACATCTGTTTTGGTCTTACGCTGCTGCCTTCTTTACACGAAATGATAAGCAGCCACTGAAACTGAATAACTAACGATTATTGCTGATTAATAATTAAATTATTCAAATTGTTACACTTACCGTGGCGTAGGCTGACCAAGGAACTTCATCTCTATTAGAAGATGAAACGCGGCGAGTAGGCTCAGATGTTAAAACAAGGGCAGATCTGATCACTTCCCCATTGTGAAACCATCGACTTGGCTGAAATATGTAAGTCAAGCAAACATGCACCGAAAACGCCCAAAATTCTATAATTACATTTTTATCCTGAGCGATCAGCCTTTCTCTGATGGTACCAAGGTTTTTCTTGCCAAGCGCTACCTCATAGCCGTAATCAGATCCGCTTTCTACGGTGGAGACGTTAGGTGGCACTGGTCGTTCTTAATAACTATGTCGGTTAATAACTTCCTAACCTAACTTCGTCGGTTAATAACTATGTCTGAAGCATTTCAAATACAACGGCATAAATATTTTGGTAAATATTTTGTTTGTTTTTCATCATGATCACTAATCAAATCACGTGAACGGAGGCTGATTATGATTCGTGTCGTTTCATGCCTCTAATTCTAGCGTTTTAATAACATGAGTCAATCGGCCAGTGAAATTTACTTAAGTGTACCCTAATTAATTAAGAAAGCCTTGGATATAACAATGAATAAATACTAAACAACAAAGCCAGCAGTGAAAGTAGATTCACATCAGACTGACCGGTGCCTGGTTCAGAAGGACAGTTCTTTGTTTAGGATCGATCATATATCAGAAAGGGAACAGAACGACCATCAGTAAAGAACATGCACGGGTCTTGTGTCTGAACGCTTCAAAAGGGACTTTGGAAACATGGGTATGGCGGATAAGCTGGGTCGGTTAGAATTTAACTGTCCAGAACAAGTGTTGCCTTTATCAAGCATCTGACTAGGAAGGACCAAAATCCATCAGCACTGCAGTTACAGAGTTGGTCAAGTGGTTTGAAAAGGCTCCGGATACGAGCCAGTCGTTTTCTCTGAAGACTGTAGAAGTAAACCTGTGCAACGCAGGGTAAGAGAGGTTAATGCAGGATTTGCTGAGGTCTTTCAGCACTTGTGTACGAACACACAATCTTCTTAATCAGCCAACACCGAAGCTGCTCGCTAAATTCTACAAACCATTGCATTGACTGTTGATCCCAGCCACGGCTGTCGTTCACAATCAACTACTACGAGTATTTTGCAGCGCAATATTTTTCAAACGCCAGTAGATCGTTGCGCAGTTGCTAAAACAAGTTCCATACAGGGCCTATTTATACACACTGCAGGATGAAAATTACTGTCCACAGATTTCTTTGGATTAAGGATTAGTCCACACTCACTCATTGAATTCTCCACCTCACGAAGAAACGCAATAATTCATATTCAGACTGCACTGAAGCCAGTAGAGCAGTATCATTAGAGTACTTCACGAACGTGGTAGTAGCATCGGGTAGGTGATATTATAACATGTATAAGGAGAACAGACCAGGTGATGAGTAACATCTTTTTGCGGCCCCTTGCGATGTCAGTTGAGCAATAAATTCCGTCTTACCGTTTTCAACAAACTGTCGGAATCTTCATTTGGTAACTCGCCAGCAAGGTCGCGATGTGAAATTCCATAACGGTACTGGTCTGAAGTTTTGGCAGCGTGTGTAATAGGATAGGCTGCGGTCCGTCTCCAGAAAGGCACCTCTTCCTAATGCCTGCCTTTCGTCGAAGTTATGGTATTGACAATGATATTGCCAACGACAGTCAACGCATCCAGAGCACGAAGTCCTCACATATATCCCGATTTGCTAGGGATCTATATGCTCTAGCACCTTTGGATAAGTCAATTTTGAGAAGATTATTTCCACGCATCTAAACGCAATCGGAGTCACTGCAAGGAGTGTCTCTAGTCAAGTGGGGTAGGATTTTTGGATAGGAGTTTTTCCTACTGTCTGCCATGAAGCCGGCACGGTACCCTTTCTTGCTGGGCATCGGTTGTATAATTCGGCAAGAACTTCAGAAAGTAAGTTAGCACCAAACACCAAAACCATGGGATATACGTTGTCTGGTTCCGCAGTCGAGGAAGCACGGATTTTCTTGAACTCTGACGTATTGAATTAGCGCTAAGGGATACGCCGATTTCACGGTTTATAAGTAGTGTTTCCGACAAGTTGTTAACTAGGTCAGTGGCTGCTTCTTCATTTGAACCAAAGAGAATAATTGTCCAGCGTCTCAGGCTTGCTGATCTCTTCCAAGGCTGTGTGTCTCAACTGATGATTGCACTGTCGGTAGATGACGGCTCAATTATCCTTCGCATTTGTACAAGCCACGATCGCAGGGGAATGCTCAAGGATGAGTGGAACAATTTCTGAATCAATTTCCATTGCAGGCATTTAGAGGCTGCTTTGTTTCCAACGCTTTACTCTTTGTTCTTTTGCTGAATCAACCGGCAGAGTTCATTTAGCGGTTACGGTTTTGGCATGTTTGCTTACGTCATCGCCATGGAGAACGTCCAAATTTGTTTTTTTTCACTATAGAGCATAACTGGCTAATCCTTTCGGCCTCTAACGACCTGAGAACACCAGTGCGCCTACTGTACTACTGTAGAGTAGTTGCCGTTTACTGTATACAGGCGGTATGAGACCAAGGGTGCAATGGCGTAAAACCCCTTGTGCTGAAACAGTCAGCACTGTTTGCCACTGCACAATCGAGTCGGACGTCAAGCATTATGGAAAACCACACAAGGTCAATGGGACCAAGACCAAATAGCCGTGTTAGATCGTATAAATCGATTTCGTCTGTGAACACGGGTAATGGACTGTTCAAACCGGGGTCACCGTTGTCACCATGTTTCTTCACAACGGAATCAGTAACTGCGTATTTGCATGTCAAATATACAGGTTAGTAAGGAAAATGCTGGAATACACCTATAGGTTCCTTGACTTGTATTCCACGACGAAATACTGTAGATCGACTTCGAAGAACTTTACTTCTCCTGACAGTTTTCACACCAGGTCAGGTTATTTCACGTCATTATATCTCCACCACCATACTTAACTTTCCCGGAAATATCAAGACAGCAATAAGCGAGGTCTTCCAAACCCTGGGTTTTCTGATCGCCCATTGGACGTGGTCACGTTCCTCGTAATGGAATAGGGCAAACGTTGCTGAACAGCGGCATAACGAGCAACACCTTGAGCTCATGGAATTTTGGTGGGATGGAGCAACAACTGTTGAATGCAATCATCTCTAGAAAATGCACGCATTTGGTGGGTGTTCTGCTGCAGTAGGTTGCCATCCAAAGTACGGTATGGTCCTCCAAGGCATGTCATGGAAGGAGTCAAGCATGAAGCAACAGTAAATCCAGGGATTGGCACGTGTTGCAACTGAATGCGCACGGTGTTGGTCTGATATTCGCGAATGCGACAACGAATTCTACATTAAATGACGAATGACTCCTCCAATACTGTATTTCACTCCGTATCGCACCGATGATCCAAGTTCCTTTGGGAGCATTTAAGCAGGCCACGGTTCCGTGGCATTTGTGCACCTGTAATGCCAAGTTGGCCTCGCATAATTTTTCCGCTAGGACCACCTTGGCTCATCATCAACGTTTCAGGAGCTGCTACGACTCATATGCCGCGGCATAAGCACCATACACTGCTCGACATATATGCCTTAATATGCCAAATAACGAACGCCTCACGCAACATGCTGTTTCAGACGCGCGGGGGGGGGGGCTTCGGCACGCAAAACCATGC